TATGGAAACCAATTTGACAATAAATTTCATGTATTTAAAAAAATGATGTTGATTTGTCTTAATCCACCACAGTCAGGGAGCAACCTTATCTGATACTTTATGAAATATTTAGGCTTAACAGGGAACACTATAGCATAGCAGTCAACATTGGTTCTCTGGGCTAAATTTTTCTTTCTCTGTAATAATAGAAAATCCTTACTCTGTATTAAAAATACTTCAGGCTTTGCACATAAACATAACTGCTTTACCTATAAACTCGTGTAACCTTCATATCAACCATACAAAATAAATATTATTACCGCTTTAAAGATGAAGAAAGTGAGGCACTGAAAACAAATTTATTCAAAATTACAGGCTTCCTGAGGACAGTTCACAGTAATCATTCTTAAGACCAAGTGCCCTGGGGCGCCTGGGTGACTCAGTCAGTTAAGCATCCGACTTCTGCTCAGGTCATGATCTCACAGCTCATGAGTTGAGCCCTGAGTAGGGCTCTGCATGGACAGCCAGAGCCTGGAGCCTGCTTCGGAATCTGTGTCTCCCTCTCTCTCTCTGCCCCTCCCTGCTTATGCTCTCTCTCTCTCTCTCTCCCTCTCAAGTAAATAAACATTAAAAACAAATTAAAAAAAAAATACCAAGGCTTCTGAGGGGAGAAGTGCCAACTGTAAGGAACAACTACTCTAAAGCTGTCTCCTTCTCAACTACAACTTGATTCCCCAAGAAGAAGAAAAAGACAGAATTCACACTCTGCTTAGAATTATTCTTTCAGCTAGCAATGATAAAGTGAGCTACACTGCATCTTCATATTGCTGCACTACTGCCACTCCCCTCTTCCTCTCTGGATAACACTTTTTAGAAGAATATGATACAGAAGGCAGTGAAAGTAGACTTGGAATCAAAATTATTTTATTCTTCCCCCTGTTGCAGGCAGGAAAGTCGTATAGTCATTATTCAAATCTGAAAAGAAATATGAACTAGAACACCTATCCAACCATTTATTTCTGATTTTGTAGGTCAGTATTGTTATTGTTCCATATATGACATCTCATTCTGTTTGCTCAAGGAAGAAGAAATATCCAAAGAAATGATAGCCAAAATTTTTCAAAAATTAGTAGCAGTCACCAAATTACAGATCCAAGAATCTTAAAGAATAAAATGCATAACAAAAACCTACACATGTAAACCCAGATATATAATATTTAAACTGCTACAAAGCAATAGGCAAGTATCTCAACAAAACGCTAATAGATGTAATTCAACAGCACTTTAAAAGCATCATACACCATGATCAAGTGGGATTTATCCTTGGCATGCAAGGACAGTTCAACATACACAAATTAATACATGTATATAAAAATTTATATATAATATATTTATAATATATTATATATAATAGAATATATGATATATATTATATAATAAAATAATATACATTTAGATATATATTATATATCTAATATAATAGATATATATTTAGAATATGTGTTACATATATGATAGAATATTATTCACACATAAAAAAAAGAAATATCTTGCAAAGGACATTTGCAAAAACATGCTTGAATGTTGAAGGAATTATGCCAAGAGAAATAAGCCAGACAGAAAATGACAAATACGGTATGTTCTCACTTACATGTGAAATCTAAAAAGACTGAACTCATAGAAATAGAAAACAGATTGGTGGTTACCAGAGGTAAGGGGTGGAAGGTGGAGGAAATGGGTGAAGGTGGTCAAAATGTACAAGATTTCAAGTTATAAGATAAATAAGTTCTGGGGATATAAATTACAGCATGGTGACAATAGTTAACAATATATTAGAACTGCATATTTAAAAAGTTACTGAGAGAGTCAATCTTAAAAGTTCCCAAAACAAGAAAAAAATTTTTGTAGCTATGTGAAGTCATGGATGTAAATTAAACTTAACAGTAATCATTTTCCTATATATACATATATCAAATCCTCATGTTTTACAACTTAAATTTATACATTGTTATATGTTAATTATATTTCAATAAAACTGGAAAAAATAAAATAAGGGAATATTTCACAAGTATCTTTCCTTACCAGGAGGGAGAACTTCACTATGTATGGGAGTATATACATTGTATGTGTGCATGTGTGTGTGTATATTTTTACATATTTTTAACAGATCAAGAGTGCTCCTCAACTCCCTTGAGTTAAATTCTATAATTTAGTACTTCAGTTCAAGTATTTGGCATGGAACCATCCACCTGATGAAAGAGATAAATTTTTTCTTCCAAATCATAATTTTGGCAGACCTTAGTGTCAAGAAAATTCTCTTTGTACATTCAAGCACTAAAAGCTTTCAATGAATAAGTCACTCAAAACCCTAGCTAGTGTGCGTTCTAGGGTATCAATTTTCAGGACTAAAAAAGTGCTGTTACCACATAACAAACAAAAACCACATAAGAAACATCTACCTTACAGAAACAATGCTGAGAAAATGAGGAAACTTCAAGTCATAACTCCTCATAAAACTCTTTGCTCATTGATGCTGTACAACCAATAATAAATTATTAACAAGAATGCAGTCTCATTAAAGATGGCTCTAAACCACTAACAGAGGAAAAACATTATTAAATATCATATCTAACTGCACGCATACCCATGTGCGCATGCACACATAGACATAAAAGTAATAACACAAAATGGTCCAAAAGTTTGAGTCACCACTCTCAGCAACAACTCACTTGAAAGGAGAAAGAAAATTTCAACAATCATGTCAACTTTTAGGGACATCCTCTAAAACAGTCTAAAACAACCTAAAGGACTAAATGAGGGGTTATCTTCTAGAACTTTGGCATTTCACCGTATACCCCATGTTTCCTGCTTCTGGGACTTGTTCACTATGAAATGGAATTTATTTATCAGGGTCATACCAGAAGCACAGAGTGAATCTGGGAGAGAAAACCTGTTAGCGAAAAAAAAAAGGAATAACCCCTTTCAAGCCATTGAGCAGGTCAACAGGAATGAAAATGAGAAATCTGATGACATGACTCTGATACTGACAGATAAGAGAATCTAACACTTGCAGCAGACTCAAAAAATGAATAAAATGTAAAGTAACAAGAGAATAAATAATCTCATGTCGCAGCTAAACTGGGGTTGCTGTAGTGATTGCACCACCGTAAGAGTAATCTGTCTATTGAACAAAATAAACAACGACTCTAAGAATAGCATGAGAGTTTCTGATCACCACTGGAGAAACTGGATCCCAAAGGTCAATCACTGGACTCCTTAGGGAAGAGAACATTAGGGATATAACTGACAGTTTTCTCTCATAAATTCTCACTTTTGGAATTCCCAGGAGACTATATCCCTTAGAAGGAATCAGATACAGATTTCAAAGAAACATAAATAAGTCTCTGTTGTGTATCATATATGCCAATTTTTCTCCAAACCAGTGTCATGTGCCCAGCAATGTAAACACCTTCTCTGGGCTGCTGGCTGCCAAGGATGCCATGCCCTCCATTGTGCCTGCCTCCTGCTGCAGTGCAAACAGAAGATTCCAAGTCAGACCTGCCGGTTCTATGAGGAGGTAGGTTTGGAAGAGATACAAGTTTAGGAGAGTTCTTAGGTGTGTCTTCTAGCTCTGCCTTCTTTTATGTGGTTGTGGAAACAATAGCACCTCAAGTTACATGAAGAATGTAAGGACATTCATCTTTGCAACTAAGAGGGCTGGGAATCAAGGAAGTGAGAGAGATGAGGATGAGGAAGTATGGAAAGTCCATCCTTAGTAACCAGGAGGTATATCCAGTCAGAACCAGCTTTTTGGGGGAAACAGCATGTTAGGGAGGTGACATCTGGAAATGACTGGCAAAGTGGCGATGAGGAGCAAGGCAGAAAAAACTTCAGCTCTCTCTTATTTTAGCCGTGTTCGGCTCTGCCACAGAGCAGATGATCAGCCATTTCGAGGAGGGAGAACACGACTGAGCACATCCTCTTGGTGGGTTCATTCCCACATGGCTTACAAAGTCATTGCAATCCTCATAGACATTAATCACCAAATATTGCCTCCTTTTACACCTCTTTCCTCATGGATTCTTTGACTTCT